GTCTCATACAGAGCTGAGGATGGCCTTGAACTCCTGATCATCCCGTATCTACCTACCAAATGCTTGGATTACAGCCATGCACCACTATGCTCAGTTTATGCAGTATTGAGGATTGAACCCAAGGCCTTTTGCATGCCTGGCAAGCATTCTACCATCTTTGCCACATCTCCTGACCCCTGACTCTTGTTTCTTTCAGACAGGATATCACTGTGTACTCCAGGCAAATTTTAACATTGAAATGACCCTCTTGCCTCTGCTTCCACAGTGCTGGGGTCATGAGGAGTGCACTGTCATGCCCAGCTTCAGCTGTAAGTGCTGTTTTAGGATGGAGAGCTATAGTGGAACACCCGTGTGAGTCGAGAGATGTGCTCCGAGTCAGAGCTGTGGGAGCAACCCCTAGTGTTCCACAAGACAGTTTAAAACCACTCAAAGGCTGTGATGCTGGTAATATCAGTACTTGGGAGGTGGAAGCAGGAGAATTGCCATGAGTTCAAGGCCAGCTACAATACAGAGTTTTAAAAGCTTCTCTCAAACAAAACAACAGCTGGTGCACACCTGCAATGTGCCATTGGAGAAGTGGATAAGAGGGTCAGGAGTTCAAGGCTAGACTTCTCTTCTTGGGAAGTTTGAAGTCAGCCTGGGATACATATGCCAACATCCCAAAAGAGAAAGAAAGAAAAGTACAGGCTCATCCCTTCACAAGATCCTGATATTTTGTCGTTCCAAATGTTTAAAATCCCAGGAAGGAAAGTGCCATTAGCGTCTGCCTCAGGACACCAGGTGAGGGCTGTGGCTAGGAGGGTACTGCAAGCAGTTTGTGACTGCTTCAGTGTCTTGCACTGCCACCTGTGTTTCTTCCCTGCACCTCAGAGTTCAGCACAGGTGGCCCTGTTTGTCCCTGGAGGTTCTATATAAGGGAGGCAGTGGCTCTGCAGGATGATGACAATGAGGTGGCCAGGGCCCCCAGTGCCTTCTGCTGTTCTTACTCTACCTCACACAACTGGTGGAGGGACGAAAGCGTCCTTTTGAGGGTGGAGAGGGACTAGCTACTGGAACACAACTAGATCATGCCCGGAGTCCGTGGTTGCAGCCACTCTGCCAATGGCACCCCACCTCAGCCTCTTTCTTGGCAAAGTTTCTATGAATTCCAGCCCCTATGGCCTCAGAGCCTGGATGCCCTTCTCTCAGGGCCTGGCTTACCTGGGAGGTGCAGGCCAGGTAGAAGGAGCAGGGTGCTGCCTGCTTGCCCAAGGTCCAACTACCAATCGGTCCCACGATGGAGCTTGCCGCATGGCACCCAGTGTTGATATGGAGGCAGACAGGCAGGAAACCCAAGCTGAGGGAGCATCAATCATTCATGGGTCTGCTCTCCTGGAAACCCTAACCGTGGCTCCATAGGGCTAAGTTGCCAGCCAGGGCCCCCCATTCCAACAAGGTCAGACAATGGAGACCCTCTGCAAGGAGCTCCTCTGGCCTAGGGCAGGCTGTGTCATCTCCATTTCTCCATCAGCATCCAAGGCCACTGGCCAGGCCTCTTTTTAAAAGTTTCATATGCCTTATACCTCAATCAGGATGTTATACCATAGGGGACTCAACCTTTTCTAGTATGCCCCCTCCTGCCTTAGAGGCCTTCACTGGTCTTCTTGGCTACATGTAGTTCAGCTATGATACACTCTGGGATAAATGCAGCAATGTGTCTCCGTTTCACAGATGGGGAAACTGAGACTTAGAATGATGAATTAGCTGCTTCTACTAAGCAAGAAGTAGCTGAGTTTAAGTATGAGCTCCCTGAAGCTGCTGTGTCCTGGCACCTTCACTCCTGAGAACAGTTTTCAAGACCCATCCGGTGCTGCCAGGCCACACTGGGGCAGAGGGCAGGGATTAGGCTGTCTGTCTGACTCATTTACCCTAATCCCCCTCACTGTGGATCCCAGGTGATCAACTCAAGCCTGGGGGGCCATAAGCAGCTTTCTGGGCCCTGAGAAGCAAGGGCACTCCAGGGAGCTGCATCGCTGAGTCCTGTTACTGTCTACATGGCAACAGAGCACAGCACACAGCTGGTCCCCAACCCCCAGAAGATCCCTAAAGGAGTTGACTCTCCCAGGAGTGCTGCTGAGGGCCCCGCCTTCACCAGGAGAAGGAGCAAGAAGGAGAGTTGGCACCTAGGGTCCCAGAAAGCCAGTTCTGGGCAACAGTCCTCTAGCCAGGGCTCTGAGGCCTCAGGAAGCAGCAAGAACTACCCAAGGACCAAAGTGGGGCAGGAGGAGCCATCCTCAGCACCTGCTGGGCAAGCCTCTCACCGACAGTCCCACCGACACCACCGTTCTGATCCCCAGCAGGATGCTGCCCAGAGGACTTATGGGCCCCTGCTCAACCGCCTGTTTGGAAAGGTCAGGGAGCTGGGGGCGGGGGCTAAGGGTAATTCTCATCTTTATCCCTTCCTGTTCCTACAAGCCAAGGCCTCATACATCTTGTGCCTCAGATTGGGAACTACAAGAGAGGGTAGAGTTATGCTCTTTTGTATCCTAGACCAGGAGAGCCATGTGAGACAAAGTTGGCTTCAGGCCATCTGGTATAGTAAACAGAGGCTGACCTCACACTAGATATCTAGGAAAACTCATTTGAAGTTCCAAAAGCACAGGGAGAAGGTTGTTTTCTGCTTGTGGGGTCTGTAGGATTTCAACTGCCTTCAGCTGCTTTGGTGGGGTCAGCTCTGCCCAGTGCACTTGCAGAGGCTGGAGGAGCTGCGGCAAAACGGGACACATTGGCTTATTCCTTCCTAATACAGGATCGTGAACTGGGCCCTGAGGAGTTGGAGGGTGAGTGTCCCTCACTGTTGCTGGGGAGGTGGGGTTGGAAAGTGACCTAGGGCTGGCCTCCTGGCCTAACTTCTGCTAATCCCTACAGAGCTCCAGGCTGCCTTTGAGGAGTTTGACACTGACCAGGATGGCTACATTGGCTACAGGGAACTAGGTGACTGCATGCGGACGCTGGGCTACATGCCCACAGAGATGGAACTACTAGAAGTGTCCCAGCACGTGAAGATGCGCAGTCAGTGATGGAGCCCTGCTGGGTGATTGGGTTGGGAGCCAGCCTGGTTAACTAGAGGGTGGGTGGGCCATGGTCACATTATCTTTATTTTTAGTTATTATTAGTAGGGGATAGGATGTATGTGCCACAGTGTGCATTTGGTCAGAATACAGCTAGCTGTTGGTAGGAGTGAGTGCTTCTATCATGGGACTTCCAGGGATCTACTAAACTCAGGTCATTAGGAGTGGTGGCAAGCACCTTTATCCATGGAGCCATCTGCTGCAATGGCTTCTTTATTTAGTTTTACAATTTCCAAGAGGAGCATGGGATTTACCCTTGATGTACATACCCTGGTTTGCTTTCTATTGCTGTGATAAATACCATGACCAAAAGCAACTTAGAGAGAAAAGGGTTTATTTTGTATTACACTTTATAATCCATCATTGAGGGGAAGTCAGGGCAGGAACTCAAGGCAGGAACCTGGAGGCAGGAGCTGAAATGAAACTAGAAAAATGGGGCTTCCTGGCCTGCTCTCCAGGTTCCTGTTCAACTACCTTTCTTATCCCTTCCCAGACCACCTTCCCGGTGTTGTACTACTCTCAATGGAATGGGGTTGCCTACATCAATCATTAATCAAGAAAAGGTCCTGGGCCAATCTGATGGAGGCATTTCTTCAACTGAAGTTCCCTCTTCCTAGATGACCCTAGCTTATGCCAAGCTGACAAAAACAAAACAAAGCAACAACAAACAACCAAACCCGAAACAAACAAAAACAAATCCCCAAACCGAGTAGAGGCACATTTTTTTAATCTGAAAACTGGGGAGGCAGAAGCAGAGGCAGGAGGTTCTCCATGAGCTCTAGGCTAGTCAGGACTAAATAGAGAAACCCTGCCTCTAACAACAACAACAATAACAACAAACACAATGAGCATTCAGGGTTAATCATCTCTTCCCCCTCAAAGTTGTTATTTGCCTATTGGCGCGTCTTGGGGGCTGATGACGTGGCAGTGCTTTGGAAAGGTATGTAGTGCTTCCCACTCAGCTCTATAACCCTGATTTCTAGCAACCATACCCTTGTTCCATGGAGTAGCTTCTTCCAGGTTCATCCCAGGATGAGAGTAGGATGGTTGGTAAGCCACCCAAGGTCTCATACAGCAACAGGATTTGAACTTGGGCTCCCTGCTCTAAAGCCAGGTCATTTTTGGCCCACTGGCCTTCATGGAGATCAGGAGTATCTCTGAGCACCCAGTATCCAAGAAACCCCTCTATCAGCAAGGAGCTGGGTGTGCCTTTGTGGATTCAGGGCTCTGGTGGGAAGACAAGGAGTGTGGCATTGCCAACAAGCAGACTGTGATGCTCTGCCTGGGTCCACAGTGGGCGGCTTTGTGGATTTTGAAGAGTTTGTGGAGCTGATAAGCCCAAAGCTGAGGGAGGAGACAGCTCACATGCTGGGTGTGAGGGAGCTACGAATCGCCTTCCGAGAGGTAAGACATATAGAGGTGTAGCAATGGGTGGCAAGCATGGTCTACATCCTTACTAGGAAGTCTCAGCCTTCAGGAGGCCCAGAGAGGCAGGACTAGGGTCCAGGGACAGGCAGGGATGGCCTGGCCGACTCCCAGTTCAGGTCTTCAAATCAGGGAAACTTTTCACCATAGGAGGAGATGACATTGGTTTTTGAAGTTGGGGAGGGATTGACAGCAGGTGGAGAGCATCATTGCCTGGCAACAGGTAGTGTCAGGAGTAAAACCAAGAATAGGAGGTAGTTCAGTTGATAAAGTGTATAGCTAGTATATACAAAGCCCTGGGTTCAATCCCCAGCACCAAAGAAAACCAGGCATGGTGGCATACACATGTAATCCAGGACTTGGGAGGTAGAGAAGGCAGGAGGATAAGGATCCTCCCAGCACTTGGAAGGCAGAGGCAGGTGGATTTCTGAGTTCGAGGCCAGCCTGGTCTACAGAGTGAGTTCCAGGACAGCCAGGGCTACACAGAGAAACCCTGTCTCGAAAAACCAAAATAAATAAATAAATAAATAAATAAATAAATAAATAAGGAAAGAAAACAAAGCGAGTAGAGCCAAATATGCAGACAATGTGGCATACAAGTGCTTGGACGCTCTACTCAATAGTTTGACAAGGACAGGGATGGACGGATCACAGTGGCGGAGCTGCGACAGGCAGCACCAGCTCTGCTGGGGGAACCACTAGAGGGCACTGAACTGGACGAGATGTTGCGAGACATGGACCTCAATGGAGATGGCACCATAGACTTTGACGGTGAGTCACCCTTTCAGACACCTCTCCCATGCCTCTAGCACCTTGAACCTCCTACAATCCCTGACCTGGATTGGCCTTTCCCTTCCCCTCTTTCTGGCAGAGTTTGTATTGATGCTATCTACAGGCTGAGGCACCTTCAGGGACATCCTACTGCCCCTGGAGGCCAAGACACCAGCATGAACCAGACTACCACACCCTTTCTCAACTTGGGAGAGATTCCCCCCACACCTCATGCTGGTTCATCTTTGACCACACCCAACTCCAGTATCTGCCTGTGCTGTCTTCTCCTCCCACCCGGGAAAAAAATTGAAGCTGGTTGCAGTTTTCACTGGAGAACAAGATTTGAATCTCTTTAGATACTGGTGAGGTAGGGAGTTCCCCAGCACTGGCTGCATTCAAATAAATGAGGCATAGTGCATTAGGGGAATTCCTAGGACATGATGAATTGAGAGGGTAGCTAGAACACTTCCCACTGCTTGTGTACATAAAGGGTTGTTTTTGAAAAATGAACTTGTGTCTGGTAATGACTTAGTAGGTAAAAGCTTTTGCCACCAAGCCTGAATTGGATCCCTGAAGTTTGGTGTGGTGGAAGAAGAGAGCCAACTTCACAAAGTTGTTCTTTGGCAGGCTAATGCCTTGTCCACCCACCCCTACGCAACCCCTGCAATGAGTAAATAAATAAATAAGTGAGAAGTGAACTTGAATCTGGGTGTGGTAGTCCATGCTGGTAATCTCTGTACAGGAGGCCTAGGCAAGACCGGCAGAACTTTCAACTCCAGAAGAACCTGAGAGCAAGGGCTGGTGAAGAGCTCAGTATTGGGCCTCAGGAGTGAGCTGGCACGGGGAGGAGGGGGGACGGGGGGCGCGGGGGCGGGGCGTGTTTCAGTCAGGAGTGAGCTGGCATGGGGGGGGTTCAGTCAGGAGTGAGCTGGCATGGGGGGATTCAGTCCCAGACTGAGGTTCGGGCGCCTGGATTCTAACACTCACAAGGGACAGGGGAAGGCATGAGTCACCTACTTACATTCCAAAGTCTGAAAAGAAGCAGAGAAAAGACGACTCAGGCATGAGAGAGTGGCAGTGCTGAAGGTGACCGGTCAGGGCCTTGAGTGGAAAAAGTTTTCTGCAGAGACAAAGGTGACACAAAGGGAAGTGAAGGCTCAGGCCTTCCTGCACTTGTCCCTGTGACCTTCATTTAAGGTTAGCCGGGAAGGAAACAGAAGCAGAGTATACCACTGAATAATCCAAATGAAGAATTCTTATTTAAACTAGGAGAAGGCTGGGAAAGAGAAAGGGGAAAGAGAAAGGGAAAGAGCTTTTTTTTTTTGAAACAGAAAAAAGCTCATTGGTTACAATTTTAAATGATGTATACTGGAATAGAATTAGATTCGAATCTGCTCACTTAAATTTTGTTTTGTTTTGTTTTTTGAGACAGGACTTCTCTGTGTAGTCCTGGCTGTCCTGGAACTCAGTCTGTAGACCAGGCTGGCCTCGAACTCAGAAATCCACCTGCCTCTGCCTCTCAAGTGCTGGGATGAAAGCCATGCGCCACCACTGTCCAGCTTAAAAAATTTTTTTAGCCGTGGTGGCACAGACTTTAATGCCAGCCCTGTGGCAACAGAAGCAGACATATTTGAATTTGAAGCCAACCTGGTCTACATATCAAGTTCCAGGTCAGTCAGGACTACACAGTGAAGCTCTTTGTTTTTGTTTTTGTTTTGCGGGGGGCGGGGGGGACAGGCTATCTCTGTGTAGCCAAGGCTGTCCTGGAACTCATTATGGAGACCTGGCTGGCCTTGAATCCAGAGATTCACCTACCTCTGCCTCCTGAGTGCTGGGATTAAAGGTGTCTACACCTACTCCTGGTGTGAAACTGTCTTAAAAAAAAAAACAAAAACAAAATTATTGTGAGTGTGGATGCCTGCCATGGCACACATATGGAGGACAGAGGATGACTTGGGGGACTCAGTAGGATCCCCTTTCTACAGTAGGATTTAGGGTTTGAATCTAAGCTGTGAGGTATGTATAATAACTGTATTCGTCTAGGAGCCAGCTTCCTTTTTAGTTAAGTTTTGTAATTATCCTTTTTCATTCTGTTTGTTCTCATTATGTTTATCTGATTATAACTGTGTGAATGCACTGCTAATATAAACTATGGCCTTGGGTTTTGTCTTTTTCACTTTTTGGAGCGGTGGCTCAGTGGTTCTTGCAAAGGACTTTGGTTTAATTCCCACACATGGCGGCTCGACACTCCTTGGACGTGAGAACACCATAGCACACATGCAAGGTCAGAGGACAGCCTCAGCTGCTCTTCGCCTTTTGCTTTGAGACAGGCAGCGGCTTTTGCCATCTTACCACTTCTGACACTGGGCCTGTAAGTTTCTGGGGATTCTCCTGTCTCCGTCTCCATCTCTGGAGGAGTCAGGATGGCAGACATCCAGTACTGTGTCTAGCTTTATGTTGGTTCCGGAGAGTCCAACTCGGATCCTCACCATAACAAGTTTCATCTATTCACGGCCTCATCTCCAGCTCCCTCAGGTTTCCATTGATCACTTCCTTTTTCCAGACAGGGTTTCCCTGTGTGGTCCTGACTGCCCTAGAACTCCCTCGGTAGTCCAGGCTGGCCTTGAACTCAAAGATCGCCTGCTTCTGTCTCCTGAGTGCTGGGATTAAAGGTGTGCACCACCACCGACTGGTTTTTTTTTTTTAATCATCACATTTGTGTAGCTGTGCTCAAGTATCCTATGGAGCTTGTGTGGTGGTCAGGAAAGAGCCTGTGGGAGTCTTTTCTTTCCTTCATGTGGGTTTCAGGGATTGAACTCAGGCTGTCAGGCTCCACAGCAAGTGCCTTAATCCTTGTAGCCATCTCACAAGACCTCTATGGTATAGCTATATAGATAGTCCTAGCCTCAGCTACTTGCAGAGTGTCAAGTTACTTAAGGTGCTTTGATTGCAGGTCTGAGTGGGCCAAGAGAGGAGTGGGTCAAAGACTAGGTGTCCACTCATCCAATAAAGGCACAGGACTCGAAGGTGTCCAGCATCCTGTTGTTTCTCTATGGACACTCAAGCTTTGGTCTGAAAGAGGGAACACTCATTCAGCTGGTCTTCTGGTGGCCTACAGATGGTATTAGCCTGGTTTCCTTTTCTTCTCCTCCCTGAGTTTTAGAAGAGGCTTGGGTTGTATTTTTGACCTTGGTGAGTTGGTCCCTATCTACAAACTAGAGCCTTAGCTTCTCATCTATGAAACGGAGCTGAGGCCGTAAGATTCTAAGACTTGGTTTGAGGGAAGCTCTCAGCACAGCTTGTTGCCTGTGAACTACTGTGAGCTCAGATTTCCTTAAAGAGTCTGGTTTTTATTTAAGTTTCAGACATTATTAGAGGCCCTTATTTTTTAAAAATTAGATGTTTCAAACATTTGGTGGCTCTAAGCATTTCCTTGTCACTGTGCTGCCTGACAGAGATGCCGTGATCCCACATACTCTGCTCCCTGGTTCTCCCAACCGCTGGATCTAGGAAATAGGGCAGTGGGTGGGTAGAGGAGCACTGCCCTCTTTACATGACCTGCATTTAGAGACAGCTATGACAGCCTAGTGCTACAGAGCCAGGCAGGAACAAGGGTACCAGCCTCTAGGCCCCGCGCCTGCATCACCTCTCAGTGCCCTTGGCTATAACTACCAGGACCCCTGTTATGGTGTGTGTATTTTGGGGGGTGGTGGGCAGCGGTGTTGAATCTCCTCAGGGATGAAGGCAGAAAGGCTGGGACTACTTCATCCAGCTCTGCTCTGGACATAATGGTGACTTTGGACACACTTGAGATCATCCAGGTTGTCCTTGCTGCTGTGGGAAGTTGGCAGTCCTCTAGAGCTCCAGGTGCGTCCTTTACTAAACCTTGTAGAAGGGAGCTGTGGTCATTAGTGTGTTGGGCCAGGGCTGGTAGAGCAGAAAAGTGCAACTGTCCTTGCTGGAAGTAACTACTCTTTTATTAGCACAAAATTACACCAACTCGGGAATTCAGGCCCAGGAATAAGTTAAGGCACACATCAGGTAAGGGGCAATATCCCCAGGCTGGCATGCCCCAAACTTCCTGAGCAAATCCAAAGAGGCCTGGTGGTTGTGAGGGTCCCAGAGGGCCTCTGCCTTCCAGGTGAAAGGAACAGAACCCAACGTAGGTTGGAGGAATACCCGTGGACACATGGAGGTGACCTGAGGCCTTGGGTCACTGGTAAGCCACTGGCCAGCTGCGGCTCACTTCTCAAAGTAGGGCAGGTAGAAGAACTGGAAGCCCCGGTGGCCCTTGACAGCACAGTAGATGAAGGTCACATGGTAGACTGTGGGGGTGGTGTCTGTCAGTGAAGGTGCCTGGCCCCACCCCACCAAGCCCCGCCCTCATTCTTACCTCCTGGGACTAGCAGAAGGATGCCTGGCACGAAGAAGATGGCGCTGGAGACACCTATGGTAGAAAGAAACCGACAGCTCAGGGACAGGGGTCCCTGGGGATGAAGGCTGCCTGGGAAGGCCTCCCTCTCTCCTGAAAGGTGGCTAATTTGTGCTAGGAGTTGGGAGGGTTTGCTGAGGACCTAGGCAGGAGGGACACTCACCTGGAGAGGGGGCGACCTCCAGTCCCACGCCGACCAGGATGAGCACTGCACACACATGGGGTTGTGGAGGGGAAGGACAGGAGGGGTGAGGGCAGGGCCTTCCAGCCAGGCTTCAGCCTGATGCATCTCCCACCTAACCGATATTCCCTGGGCAGAATACCTCCCAGGATGCTCAGCAAGCTGTGTGTTCAGGGCAGGGTACTTGGCAGGCCCTGGGAAACAGCTATGAAGTGGGAATTTTTACTGCCATTTGGTATGACCTTTCAGTCACTCGAGAAACACTTACGGTATACCCTCCATATGGCTGGTATTGAGAATCCCACCATAAAAAGCAGATAGGGGCCTGGCATGGTGGCAAGCACCTTGAGTCCCAGCATTCAGGAGGCAGAGACAGGCAGATTTCCGTGAGTTTGAGGCCAGCCTGGTTTACATAGCAAGTTCCAGGACAACCAGAGCTATATAGAGACCCCGTATCTTCCACTTCAAAAGGCATATGGGGGACAACAAGATGGCTCAGTAGGTAAAGGAGTTTGCCACAAAGCCCAACTACTTGGGTTCAATTCCTCAGACCCAAAGGGTAGAAGCAGAGAACTGACTCTTGCAAGTTACCCTCTGGCCACATTGAGCCGTGGCATACACACACCCTCCTCCACCCACATACACACAGATGAAAGAACATGGGAAGGCCAGTAGGTCCCTGTCCCATGGCCTTTTTTAGTGGACATGAACAAGATCCTGAAAGCTATGATCTGTGTGTGGAAAGAGGTCGGTGTGGGAGCTTGAAACAACTGCCTCAAGTGAGCCCAGGGAGACAGCAACCTCTAAGCCTGGCAGGCATGGCAGGAATGATAGCACCACAGGCCCTGACCTAAGCATTACATGCAATGTCTTGATAAACTAAACCATGACTCGGTGGGACAAAGAAGCTACATATGTGACTGACCATCCAGGCAGAGAGAATTCAGCACAGAGGGAACAGCACAGCCAAGTCTCAGAGTCTGGAGGGAACCGGAAGCTTTCTAAGAGCTTCCAGCACTTGACGAGACTGAACAAGAAGAACCTGGGTTAGAGAAATCTGGGACAGCACGTTGTCCCAGGCAGGGATTTGGCCTTTGGTGGAGAGGTCATAGCTGGACTCACTGACAGGAGAGGGTGCAACCAGGGGGCCACCATGGACTTTTGTATATTTCACGTTCTACAAAAAGCACCTCAAACACAGGGTTCACACTCATTCCCTGACCCTGGTTTAAGGCTTCAGGTTCTGTTGTCTTAGAGTAAACATCTTTTTCTTAGAGTAACATTTCCTAGAGCCTTTAGTGGCTTTCTGTTGATCCCAAAGCTCGGCAGTCATGGGGTGGGTCTCAATCTCAGGCCATCAGCCTTCCAGCTGCAACCTGAGGAAGCCCACTCTCCTGCCTGCGCTTGTGTCCTTACATCCCAAGTCAGGATGCTATCGACACTTGATTTGCTGGGTTGAGGAGAAGCTAGCAGTAGGTGTCAACAATGCCTGGCCTGAAGTGGTGCTAGCAAGTGGCAGCTCTGTCTCCCACACTCAAACACCGAGAGGTGGAGATTAGGCTTTTGGCCAGTAGCCCTAGATGGCTGGGAATTCTGACTTTCCTGGAGAAGGAAGGGAAAGGGACCCAGGGAGGCAGCCACAGTTGGTCCTTCATTATGGCCCCGCATTGATTCTAACCTTGGATGCTTTGGGACTTTGCATCTCAGTCCCATAAAGAAGAAAGAAAGATGTGGCTGTGAAATCTGCCTATGCTGGACCTCAGTTTCTCTCACTGAACGATGTGGGGTGGAGAAAGGTCCTGGTAAGATCACAGACTACAGAGGAGGCAGGCCCGATGCCTGGCCTCAGGGACACTAATATCCCAAGCACCTGGCCTGCCTTCATGAACAGATTCTGGACTTTGCTTCACTCTGTAAGGTGAAATAAATGGAGCTGCAAATAGTCAACACAGAATACATGAAAACTATTACTTCTCCATCCTGTAGTAGGTTAAACAGGTTAAATTAAACAAACAAACAAACAAACAAACAACTGGGAGGGGACTAGACAGCATAAGCCTTTAATCCTAGTTTTTGGGAGGCAGAGGCAGGACCTCTGAGTTTGAAGCCATCCTAGTATACATAGCAACTTCTAGGGCTGTGTATACTAGGGCTACACAGAGCAACCCTGCCTTGAAAAACCAATAAATAAATTAGTAAATAAATAAATAAGAAAGTAAGCTGAGCATAGTGGCATATAACTGTAATCCCAAAATATGAGAGGCAGGGGCAAAAACGATCAACTGTTCCAGATCATACTTCACTGTCTGGGTTATATGAGACCCTGTCTCAAAAACACTTAAAAAGGGGGTAAGGCACTGAAGAGCTGGCTCAGAGGTTAGGAGCACATATTACTCTTCCAGAGGACCCAGGGTTGGTTCCCAGCACCCACACAGTGGCTCCCAACCTTCTACCACCCCAGCTCCAGGGGGCCCAGCTCCCTTTTCAGACTTCCCTGGAGCCTGCTCACACATGGTACATCTGCATACATAAAACAAAAACTTGAAATTATAATTTTTAAAAACTTAAAAAAAAGGCTAGGTGGTGGTGGTGGACATTTTTAATCCTAGTACTGGGAAGGCAGAGGCAGGCAGATCTCTGTGAGTTCCAGACCAGCCTGGTCTAAATAGTGAGTTCCAGGACAGCCAGGGCTACACAGAGAAACTCCTATCTCAAACAACAACAACAGAACAAAATAAAACAAACTTCACAAAAAGAAAAAAAGGAAATAATTTAAAAAGCACTGAACCAGGTTCCATTTTTCCCTCTCTTTGTGACTCTCTGGCCAGATGACCAAGACTGTGGGGCTAATCCTCTCATAGCCCCTCTTGCTCAGTTCTAGCAGGGAGGCCTAGAGTGCTAAGGGGCTTCAGAGCCTGCTCATAGGAGGGAAGAAAGTTAGACCCTTAGGACACTCACCTAGTCCCAACAGCAGAAGTAGGAAGGAGGCCAGCACTACCCGGCGGTTTTTCTGGATCAAAGGATGTTGGGTCCAGCTGAGTGGCAGGAGAGCAAGATGGAGGTCAAGGAGGTGAAGCAGGTGAAGAACCAGGGCTGGCTGGCAGGCAGAAGCAGGGGTACTTGGAAGCTGAACCCCAAATGAGGAGGCTCTCACCTGCAGCAGGCGTTGTAGGAGCGCTGGGTGCTGCTGCTGATGGTGCTGAAGGACCATTGGGAGCTACGGATAGACGTGTGCCCGGAATCTCTGAAGGACAGAAGGACGGGGGCGGGGGGGGGAAATAAAGAAAGGGACAGGGATAAACTCAGGGTATATACAGGGACTGAGGTTAACCCCTGCAGGAGAGAGGGTCCTAAAAGAGGTCAAGGGTAGGGGGTGAGAGTGAATTATAGAATGGGGTGCATGTTACAAGGAATGAAAAGGGAAGGTGGGGGCTGGGTTAAACTGAGGATCCCCAGAAGACAGAAAGCCTGGCAGTGATCAGATGGAGGCACGGGGCACTGAGGTAAGGCGTCCTAGCTAGACAGGAGATTCCATGAGGAAGTAGGGCTAGGGAGCCCTATAAGACAGATAAGTGCATTTGGTTGGGGACTGGGCAGGTTCTTGCAGACAGGAGCCTGAGACAAGGGGCCTGGGATGCAGGGTGGTCCCCACCTGGCCCTGACCTGGTGCTGACTCCCCCATCAGGCTCTGGAGAGGCCTGGGCTCCGTCCTCATCATTTTCCAGGTTCTGTTTCAAAACATAAGGTTCAGAGAGGTTTCAGGGTTTGGGCCTTTTCACTCCCCTCTGGGGTGAGGAGAAAAGCAGCCAGACAGCTCCTGCCTGGCATGTCTGGCAGCTGCTCCCCTGGCTCTCCCTGCCCTCCCAGTGTAACCGGTTTGATGATTCAGAAACCAAAACCTGGGCACAGAAGCTAGCAGGAGTGGGTGGAGGGCTGCCAGCATGGATCCCAGGAGCAGGTGACCACTCAAATGGGGCTCATAGGATTTTTCAGGGACCCAACATAGAGACTCTGGATTTGGTATAGCATAGCAGAGGCCACTGGTTCCTATGTCGCAAAGAACGATAGGGTTGGGGGAGGCTTCCTGAGACAATGATTTATGGTGTGGTTGGAATTAAGAGATGAGCAAACACATCACGTGTGGGGACCTCCACTTTTAGGGTGATTCTCAAAACAGAGAGGATGCAGATTCTCCATAGGTCATGTGGCCTGAAGCTCAAGGGATACTGCAAGAACATCTGAACAAGGTCTGGTTCAGATTGGAAGTACTCCCCAAACTCCAAGGAGTGGTATTGGGGTGTCAGTCTACAGGACAGGTGGGTTCTCCACTGTTGCTGAGGCCTGAGTTCCTTGTCCGGGTTTGTGGCTCTCCACAGCTGCACTGGGACCGAACTCGGAACTCAGAAGACAAGAACATAATTCTGGATGAGCAGACACGTCTAGGGGACAGTTTTCCGCTCCGCTGGGGTCTCAAGGCAGAGGCTCGGGAGTTAAGACTTCTCCGGGGACCGGCTTGGGGCCCCGCCCTATCCCGGACAAGAGGGTGAGACGAGCAGGGCCGTTCACCTGGTAGCGTAGCCGGGATTGCTTGTCTTCATCAGCTACCTCGAACCGGGCCCGGCGTTCGAAGTGCAGCGGCCCGAAGCGGGCGACCCCGCTGGACTCGGGCCCAGGCCCCGCGTCCTCCAGGGTCAGCTCGAAGGCGTCATCGATGCTAAACTGGGGCCGGGCAGAGCTCATGGCCCGCGCCGGCCTAGGCGCCCAGCGCCACCCCCATTTGAGCCCGCCACGGCCCCGCCCACCAAACAGGACCCGCCCCACCGGCCCCGCCCCGTCGCCCTGGGAGCGAAGATCTGCCCTCTACAACCGCCCCGCCCTGCCCGCTCCTCCTTCCCAGGCCTGAGCTGCAGAGCGCCGAGTTGATTCGGGATCACGTCAGAGTCTTGCGGGGTAGCGGGCCTCGTGGCGCCACCCAGAGGCTACCTTGGTGAGGGACATCCTCAGCTGTGACCAGGAATGATAGGCTTGTGCTTGCTTGTAAGGACGGGCATGGGGTCAGTGGGTGTGGGTGGGTATGGGGTTGCTTTCTCTGCCCAGCTCTCAAACCTCATGAGGTGGTCTGGATTCCAGCCCGCACTCCTGTGCAATCGAAACTCTTGGATCTGTTCCTGCATCCTACTCACCACAGCTTCCAACAGAGGGGTGTTTTTGTCATTTTTCAGATGTGAAAACTGAGGCTCAGAGCTTATATTTCCTCCTCCAATTCAGAATCCAGGGGCAACTAAAGTGATTTTTAAAAAATTCTTTCTCGTACTGAGTCTGCATTCCCTTCTTTTTTTGTTTTTTCTTGGAAGATGATCTCCCTATGTAGCTCAAGCTGGCCTTGAATTCCCCATCTTTTTGCCTTAGCTTCTCTAGTATTGTGATTACAGGCATATACCAACCACTATGTTGGCTTTCTCATGCTCTCTCTCTGTCTCTCTTTCTGTGTGTAGTGCAGGTTGGTCTCAAACTCAATATGTAGTGGAGAATGACCTTGGACTTTCCCCCTTGTACAACCTGGTTTATTCCAAGATGGCAATTGAACCTGGGACCTATTGAATCCTGAGCAAGCAGCCTTGTGTGTGTATGTGTTCTGGAATTTCACTCTGTACCCCAGACTGACCTCTGATTTGCAATGCTCCTGCCTCATTCCCTTCAGCACTGGGTTTATGTTTATGCGTGTGGTACATTTGTACATGTGAGTATCAACAGACTCACAGGAGTTGTGAACTGCCTGACATAGGTGCTGGAAATTGAACCTAGGTCCTCCACGAGAGCAGTACTCGCTCTTAACCCCTGAACCATTTCTCTAGTCCTGAGTTTTTGGCATTACTGCTTTCTCTTTGTTCACTGCTTTTCAGTGCACAGGATTGTTTGGAACTGAGTAGATGCTCAATAAATATCCGTGACAGAACCGAATAGGCAGTTTGCAAAAGTGGAACATCTGGGATTTGAACCCACATCTTCCTATCTTACAAAGTGTTTGTCTTCCTCCATGTCCATCCACTGTCTCATTTTATGATCTCCCATAAAGAACTGAGTCAACCCAATTTCTCAGTTTATGGTAAAGGAGGCTCCTCTCTAGTTGTGGTAATTCATCTCCCCCCCCCTTCCATCATTCTCCCTTCCCCTTCTCCCAAGACCTCGCCTCACTGTGCGTTAACAGACTCTGCCTGTCCCGTCCCACACATGCTTTAACAGACCCTGCCTATCCCGTCCCACACATGGCATTGTCTTCTGTGTGGATGTGTTTGCAATTTACAAACATGGTGTCCTGTATCAAGTGCATTCTGTTGTTTACATTTTTCCATTTTTGCACTCAGTACTAATGTTTTTCACATGCATCTTGTTTGTTGATTCTACTAGCTGTAGGCTTGACACCACTCGGGCTTCCAGCGCTCACTCAGGCTGAGGTTGGCCTCATGCACTCATCACTGCTGTCTCCTATAAATGGTGGAAGGCCTCCTCTTCCAGCAGGTGGATGTCCAGGTCGTAGGGAGTTTACCTTGGCAATTTCCTGAATTGTGGCAAGTTGACACCTACTCTAAGACTTCTGCCTTTCTCTCAGCCCCTGGTGGCATCCAGTTTCCTAAGAGCTGGAAGTTCTGATGAACACAAGGAGTTACTTCTCTCCTTCCCTGTCTTCCTTTTTTGGTTGGTTGGTGAGGTCTTTTTGACACTGGAATCTTCCTATGTGGCTCTTACCAGACTGGAAATCAGTATGTAGACAATGTTATAGGTCTCCCCCTCAGCTTAATGATGGGATTAAAGGCTTACCACTATACATGGTTTCCTTCTTCCTTCTTGCCTCCCCTCTTCCTTCCTCCCTTCCTTCCTTCCTTCTTCCCTCCCTCCCTTCCTTTCTCTTCCTTTTGTCTCCTCCATCCTGCCTTTCCATATTTATTTACTTATTGTGTGTACACACAAGTCTGTGTGTGTATGCATACACATGGCACACATGTATGTCAGAGAACTTAATGGGAGTAGGCACGTTTTGTCCACCATGTAGGTTCAGGGGCATCCAACTCAGATTGTCGGCCTGTGGCAGATGCCTTTACCAGATCTTACCTTCTCTGTTCCCTCTGCCCTTCTTTTAAAAATGTTTATTTATGTGTATGAGTGTTTCGCCTGCATGCGTGCCAGTGTATCATGTGTGTGCCTGGGACCTATAGAGGTCAGAAGATCCCCTGGAACTGGAGTTACAGGTAGTTGTGAGCAGCCATGGGGCTGCTGGGAACCAAACCCTGGTTGTCTGGAAGAGCAATAAGCACTCTACACCACAGAGCCATCTTTCCACCCTGTGTCAAGTACAACTTGAGTTCTCTCGCTGAGTAATAAGTCTATCTCATTTATGCCAGTCTTACATTGTTGGGAGAAATCCTACTTGCTCTTTAGTCTTTCTCTTCTTGCATTTGTGTGTGTGTGTGAAACAAAATTTGTTCTTGGAGTAAAACATGCATAACATTAACTTGCCATCCTCACAGTTTCAAACTGCACAGTTCAGTTATGTATTCACAGTATTGTGTGGTCAGTCTGTAGAGCTTTTTAATTTTGTAAAACAGAAACTGAGTCCTTACTTAAAAAAAAAAAACTTCCCCATTCTCACCACACCATTCTGTTTTCTGTCTCTATGAGCTGCTTATGCAGACACTTCAGTGAGTGTGATAATACAGTATTTTTAAATGTGTGTGTTTGCCTGCATGTATGTATGTACATTACATGTGTGTCTGGGTGCCCACAGAGGCCACAAGAGCGTTTCTAGTCCTCTGGTTATGTATTGCTATGTGGGTGTGGAGAATGGAACTTATATCCTTTGAAGAAGTAGCCAGTGTTCTTAACTGCTGAGCCATCACTCCAGGCCATACAGTATTTTTTCATGACTGATGTTTCACTGAGAATACTGATAGGATTATGTAGTGTATTCAATTAGCTTAATTTGTGTGTGTGTGTGTGTGTGTGTGTGTGTGTGCTAGAAAAAGAACCCATGACCTCGCGAATGCCAGGCAAATGTTCCAACACTGAGCTATACTCTCAGTCCCTAGCTTAACATTTTATTTATTATTAATGTTGTTGTTGTTATTGTTATTATTGGTTTTTCAAGACAGAGTTTCTCTGTATAGCTATTGCTGTCCTGGAACTCTCTCTATAGACCAATCTGACCTTGAACTTAGAGAACTTCCTGCCTTTGTCTCCCAAGTGCTGGGACTAAAGGCATCACAACCACCTGGATAATACGTTATTATTTTTATCTCTATATATATCGTTCATGCTGTGATGTATACTTCTCAGCCATAGTGGTCAGCTTTCCTCATGCTGTGATGTACACTTCTCAGCCATAGTGGTCAGCTTTCCTCATGCTGTGATGTACACTTCTCAGCCATAGTGGTCAGCTTTCCTTCTGTTGTACTTTCTGGAACATGAGTACAGCAGATTACTTTTTACTAAAATTTGGTATAGCTTGCCTGTAAGCTCTCTGTGTTGATAGAAAACAAAACCAAGCATGTTTCCTCTTCCCTTCAGAAGCCCTGCCCCTCTCTGAGGACTTCTTGCTGGAAAGTGAAGCAGTCGTAGTATGTAAAGCACTTAGCGCCTGGGACTCGGGAAAGACAATAAGCCTCCTGGTTATGGTGAGGGATGAAGGCACTGCAGCAGCCCTGAGACTCCCTTACCTCGTGAGAGCAGGAAAGTCTCACAGCGGTTGTTTACAGCTAGATTTCCGGAGGGAGAGACAGACCATTTCAACCCCTAAAGTAGCCCTTTCCTATCATTCATGTTTCCTCTAATATGTAGGGGCACCTATTATGCACAATCTCCCATAGACTCACCCAAACCCATAAAGTGTTGAGGTTCCCATCGGGATACTGACCCTAAGCTCTCTTAAGGGGTGGGGGTGGGGATAGCTAAACAATTCCAAGCAAGTAGTTTACCGCTGGGCTACATCCCAGCCCAGTTTAACATTTTATTAAGACAGAGTTTAACATACCCCATGTTGGCCCATGTATAAGCAAGGATGACCTTGAGTTCCTGATCCTCCTGCTTGCTACCTTCAGAGTACTGGTATTTTAAGTGTGTGCTACCACACCGGGCTTCCTTCCTTTTTTTTCTGAAGACAAATGAACCTAGAATCCAGAATCTAGATGTCATAATTTATGCCAAGCCTGCAAAATAAAAGGGCCAAAGGGAATACACAGGTGAAGCGGTTCTTTTCGGTTTTCATTTTTCTAACTGGAATCCTGGAATAGGGCATCTAAAACTTAAATGAAGTGGCACACAGCTACTGGAGCTGCAGCCCCAATAAAGCCAACTGAGCACAATTGGCAGGGGAGGCCCCGGCCGCGTCCCATTGGCCAAACAAGCCCCAGGCCCAGCAGCTTTAGGCCCCGCCCACAGCATTACTACCCAATCACGGCTCTTTTCTTCATTCCCTCCCTTTTAAGCTTCTGCCCTCAGTCAAAATGGCGCTTGCTCAAAAGCTGCCAAGGCGCTAGAAGTTGCCGAAACAGGTCCGGAAGCTACCGAGCGAGTCCGGAAGTTGCCGAAAGGGAGCAGCGGGGAAGGAGGATGGCGGATCTCATCGCAAGACTTCGGGAGGACGGAATCCAAAAGCGTGTAATACAGGAGGGCCGAGGAGAGTTGCCAGACTTTCAGGATGGCACTAAGGTTTGTGTCCATACTCTCCCCCCTTTCCTAGCTTCTCTTCTGAGGTGCGGTGCGCATGCGAGGCGGGAGAAGGCCGTAGGTGAGAGGTTGCGCATGCCCAGAGAGCAGCTGCCAGTCACCCTACCTCTCACATGCCGAGCTCGACGCTGATTGGTTTGGATTTATGTGGGCGTAAATTCAGATATGTCTACTCCGCCCCTTGGCTTTGCTTTAGGACTGCATTGGGTAGAGGTGGGTGTCAGTCATCTCAAAATTGTTTTGATGTGGGTGTGACCTCGGTGCTGATACCTGTACCTGAAGGTTCAAAGCTCATGCAGTTTTGTGAGTAAAGAAGCCTTGTGAAACCATCTAGGACAACTCTCCTTGTTTACATAGGGAAACTGAGGTCCTGGAACTAAAAAACAGAGTCCCAGAGATCTGGTTTTCCAGACCGAACTCCTACATCAGCTTTCTGATAGATAGTAGCATTGTTTTTATATCTGGGCACCAAGTTCAGGTGCTCCTTCCCTAAGACACTCCATATCTCTAGGTTCCTTGCTCTGTTGTGTAGATCTCCAATCACCGTTGTAAGTTGATATCAGTGAAGCCAAAAGCAAGAATTCTGTGAATGAATGTATGCCCACTGGCCAGTGGTGTTAAGCCAGCAGGCAGAGAGTCTAGGCTGATGTGGTGAGGGGTAAATAAATGCTGAGAGCAGAGAGCAGGCATGTGGTGGTAGTGATTAGCTGTGCTTGAAAAAGGGATCTCCAAGCTGGGCCTGGTGGTACAGGCCTACAGTCTCAGCCACTGGTGAAGCTGAGGCAACAGGATTGAAAGTTAAAGAGCAGCCTGGGCTACAGCATGAGTTCAAGGCCAGCAGGGGACACTTAATGAGACCTTGTCTTAAAAATTAGAGAGATGGAGATAGAGAACAGGCTTTGGAAGAAGCCTGCCAAAAGGGATTCTAGATGGGACAGCCTAGGATAAAATAATACAAGGATAGAGAAATCTATGAGCAGGGGCACCCAGTAAATAGGAGCAGGTAGGATTACACAATCATTGGGGGTCAGGAGTGGGAACTGTCTCCTGCTGGTGAGGTAGCTCAGTGGATAGAGGTGCTTGCTGCCAAGACTGGTGACCTGATTTAGATCCCCAGGAGCTAGATGGTAGAAGGAGAGAAGTAACTTCTGCAAGTTGTTCTCTGACCTCATACAAGCACTATGTCACATGTGAGCCCCCAAATACATATAAATAAATGTAATTTAAAAATATCACCAGGGTTAAGGATGGGGCTTAGTGGTAGAGTCTAGGATGTAGAGGTCTTTGGGTTTTCAAGCAGAAAAGTAAAAGAAAAAGCCCAGCTACCAGTGAGCCCTGTGGTATGTGTTCATAGGTTTATCTCCCACAATGCTAGACAGATATTTTTGATTGAGTTTTACTGATGGAAACTGACTTCAGAGAGGCAGCACAGCCATGTAGCAGTTAAGAGTGTGGGTTCAGCTAACCATATCCTGTTGAGATTTCCGTCTCAAGCTGTCTTCCATCTGCCCTCACTCTAACATGATCTTATCTAGATTCAAACTTTTGAAATGACTCCATACCCAAATTACTCCCAAATGTGGATGTCTGCCTCTCCTCACTTCTGCCCCTGATGGTGGAATAGCACCCCAGTATTTTTGTTTACTTGTTTGTTTGGCTGGTTGGCTGGTCTTTTGAGACAGAGTTTCTGTGTAGCCCTGGCTGTTATAGAACTCACTTTGTAGACCACGATGGACTTGAACTCAAAAGATACACCTGACTTTGCCTTATGAGTACTGGGATTAAAGATGTGAGCCACTATGCCCAGCTATGACCATATGCCTGGGTCATATAGAAACTGTCCACCTTCTCCCACCCCCTTCCTCATCCCTTTAAAAGTAAACTTAGGTTTAAAAACCTAAGTTGGATTATGTCCCACTTCTGCTAGGAGCCACCCAGTAGCTGTCATTTCAGAGTAAAAACTCAGGTCTTCAGCATATTCTGTATGCCCTGTGGAGCTCATCCCTGCTCATCGCTGGGACTTCAATGCAGTCTGCACTCCTTGTTCACACTGTGACTCTGGCCTTGCTGATTTGAACACCCCACACATTGACCCACTGTGTGCTTTTGTACCTTTTGTGTGCTTTTGTTTCTTTGGCCTAGAAACTTACTACCTGAGTCCTTGCCTGACTCTTTCTTTTTTTTATTCCTTATTCCTATTCTCTGCTTAAAATTTGCCTTCTTGGAGAAACCTCTGCCCCACTTCTTTTTTTTTAATTCTCAAAATGCTGGGGGGTGGGGAGAAAGCAATATGACTTTCCTCTAACATAGCATATGGTTTTGTCTGGCTCTCCTTCCTATATTCTAGAAAGACCATGGGAGCTCCTCAGTGGCTCGATGGCTTCTGTGTGGTTTACTGCTATGTTTTTTGTGTCTTACACAGAGTGTAGGCGTATAGTAGGAGCTCAGTAGATCTACGTTGAAAGCATGATTGGAAACAGGCTCTGTCTCAGCCTTGTCCCCCAGGAGCCATGGGCCTCTTACTTCCTTGTCTGTTACATAGCTCTCACTGAGACGGTGGGGATAAAGCCAGGTGCAGGGCTAGCTGGTGGTCCCAGGAGATGGACATCATCCCTTGTGTTTAGAAGCAGGGCTGTAGTTGAGCTGGGGCTTTAGTGAGGCTTTGTACCTTTGCCTGATAGCCTATGTGGTTTCACAGGCCACGTTCCACTTTCGGACGCTGCACAGTGACAATGAAGGCTCCATTATAGATGACAGCCGAACACGAGGCAAGCCCATGGAGCTCATCATTGGCAAGAAGTTCAAGTTGCCTGTGTGGGAGACCATTGTGTGCACCATGCGTGAGGGAGAGATTGCCCAGTTCCTCTGTGATGTCAAGGTAACAGTTCTGGGGTCTGTGGCACTTGTCTAGCCATGCTCTATGTCCTATCCTCAGGGCCCCTGCCTGGCTTAGCCACTGACTTTGTCTAAATAAAGATGAAAGGTGTTGGTGCATGCCTTTAGTCTTAGTTAGTACTCTCTCCAAACTACCACCAGGCTCCTGGTTTACATCCTGACCTCTATTCTTTTTTTTTTTTTTTTTTTTTTTTTTTTTGGTTTTCCGAGACAGGGTTTCTCTGTATAGCCCAGGCTGTCCTGGAACTCACTCTGTAGACCAGGCTGGCCTCGAACTCAGAAATCCACCTGTCTCTCTGCCTCCCAAGTCCTGGGATTAAAGGTGTGCGCCACCACCGCCCAGCTCTGACCTCTATTCTTTTTCCTGTCTATAAACCAGACTCCAGCCAGGGACTCATTTTTAAGTGCAGCTGGCCCATAGGAACCATTACTTCACACGTCTGTGGCTCTTGGTCATTGTTAGGGTGGGGCATATGTGGCTGTTCACATGTTGCTTTGGAGTCTGATCCCTGCTGATGTCTTCTCCTATACAACAAACCCCTTGCCCTTCCTTCCCACCCATTTTCTACAGCCTGCCCCTTCCTCATTCTTCGAAGCGAATTCGTGGTTATCACCACTGGGAAGTCCCCCTGGCTGCTAAGGGTTTTCGTGAACACCTCTTCTGGGTTCTTCTGTCCTTATGCCCTGTGTTAAGATCTGGCCTTCTGTCTAGTTGTACCCACACATGGTGGGAACTGACTTTTTCTGACCTCTTGCTTCCAAATGGAGCCAACCCAGAGCCGTTTGTCCAAACCATCTGCTTGTGGGTGCCTGCTGGTAATCTATTGTGTGCAGAGAACAGGGGGCAGTGGGGAGTCTGTTATGTGAGTCCCTCCATCCCTACATCTTTTCTAAGGTTAAGTCTTCTGTTTCCATCTTCCCAGTGTTTTGTTTGTCTTGGTACCAAGGACTGAACCTAGGGCATTGCACATGCTGGGGAGATATCGTACCTCTGAGCTATACACCCAGCCCTACTCTTTAGAAACAGTTGTTGGGCGCGTGTGTGTGCATGTGTGTGTGCTTGCGCTCGCATGCATGGGTACTCTAGACTGGCTAATGAGCTCCTACCAGCTGGAGTTACAAGCACAGTGGCTCAGTCACACTTAGCTTTGACATGGGTGCTGTGAATCTAAACTCAGGTCACGTTATCCTTTGAGCCATCTCCCTAAGCCCCTGAGTTTTGTTTTGTTTTTTGGATCTCTGTACTGGCCAAGATGCTCTTGAATTCCCGGACTCAAATGGTCCTCCAGCCTCAGCTTCCTGGGTAGTAATAGTTGCACCAATGCACCAGGAAAGCTCCCCTGGGAATTGTTTGTTGTTGTTGTTGTTTGTTTGTATTGTTTTTAGAGACAGGGTTTCTCTGTGTAGTCCTGGATGTTCTGGAACTCGCTCTGTAGACCAGAGTGGCCTCAAACTCAGGGCTCAGGGCTCCATCTGCCAAGGTGTATACCACCATGCCCAGTTTCCCTGTGGATTTGAAGTTGTGCCCTGTGCCCAGTTCTCAGATGGGCCTTGACATGGATAGAAGTGGAGGAGGAGAAGGAAGAGGTGGTGCTGGGCACAGGATGTGGTAAAGAGCTTGGTTTGTGGGACTTATCCCTGAGGAGAGATGGGGTGGGGGGGACCAATACTGGATCCAGATGGACAGGACACAGAAGTGAATTCTTGGTCTGTTTGTGAGTTAGGCAGGTGCTGGATTTGGTAACCAGAGATCATGGCAAAGCTGAGGGCTTTACTGTGAGGGTAGAAAGGTATCAGAGGAAGGCAGGCAATGGTGATTCAGGAGGCAGAGGTAGGTAGATCTCTGTGTTTGAGGCCAGCCTTGTCTAAAGAGCAAGTTCCAGGATAGTCAGGGATACTTGAAGAAACTCTGTTTCAAACCCTCACCACCACCCCAAAGAAAAAAGAAAAAGCAAAACAAACAAACAAACAAAAAACCAAGAAAGAGTGAAAGAGAGAGAAAGAAAGAAAAAAAAGAAAGAGAGAGAGAGAGAGAGAAAGGAAGGAAGGAAGGAAGAAAGAAAGAAAGAAAGAAAGAAACAAACAAACAAACAAACAAACAAACAAACTAGAGGGAGAAAAGCCTCCTGGTCTCCCTTGTATGGACAGTGATGTTGAGACTCTCTTGTGCCCAGTGAGTACCTGCACACATTGATGGCGCCTCTGCTGCCTTCCTGCAGCACGTAGTCCTATATCCTCTCGTGGCCAAGAGCCTCCGCAACATCGCTGAGGGGAAGGACCCACTGGAGGGCCAGCGGCATTGCTGTGGAATTGCTCAGATGCATGAGCACAGCTCTCTGGGTCATGCGGACCTGGACGCCCTGCAGCAGAACCCTCAGCCTCTCATCTTCCACATCGAGATGCTGAAGGTAAGGCCCCCTTAGTCTCAGAGGGGACACTAGCCCTACCTCCCCGCTGTACCCCGCTGCCCAGGGTTGGTCTGGAAAGGGGCAAGGACAGGAAACCTGCCGAAGCTCCTAGGGACCCACCCTCCTCAGGCCTCACTGATCACCTCTTTGGGGAGGCCTGCCCACCCACCTTGAGCCTTCCTCCACAGCTGGCCAGCTGGCCGTGCTTTGAAGGCACTAGGGGTTTAGGTAGTTCCTCTTGTCCTTATAGGTTACTTTCTATGGAACATAAGCTCTGCCATGGGTGTTTGCCAACATCTTCACTGTTATGTGAAGTACTTAGTACTCAGTATGCCCAGGCACGTAGGGGCTGATGAGTATGTTTTAAGAGACCAGCGGTCAGGTGACATGGTTTTCAGCATCTAATGTCAGAGGCCTGGCCAGCCTTGCGCTGGTCAGGTTTGCTGCAGAGGACTCCGAGGTGCCCCATGGGGTCTGCTTTGAATTGGTTCCTGCCTTGGCAGGTGGAGAGCCCTGGCACCTATCAGCAGGACCCATGGGCAATGACAGATGAGGAGAAAGCAAAGGCAGTACCACTCATCCATCAAGAGGGCAACCGTTTATACCGTGAGGGGCAGGTGAAAGAGGCTGCTGCCAAGTACTATGATGCTATTGCCTGCCTCAAGAACCTGCAGATGAAGGTATACTCAGAGGCCACAGTGGGAAGGGGACACGGAGGAAGCCAAGGCTGGGGCCGGGTCTCAGCGTCTCCACTTTCCTTGCCCCTACACACTTCAGGAGCAGCCTGGATCACCTGACTGGATCCAGCTGGACTTGCAGATCACACCACTGCTACTCAACTACTGCCAGTGCAAGCTGGTGGCTCAGGAGTACTACGAAGTGCTGGATCACTGCTCTTCCATCCTCAACAAGTATGACGGTGAGCACCAAGCCAGCCCCCCGCCCTCACAGTCCAGACCGGTCTCTTCCCACCCACTGCTATGGCCACTTGGTCCTGGCCCTTAGCTTTGACATCTCCCCATTCTGAGCTCCCCACAAGAGCCTGACCAGAGCTTCCATGTCAGCATGGAAGTGTTGTGTCCAGGAAGTATGAGCGGTACAGTGTGACAGGGTGGCACTGGTGCACTGTTCAGAAAGTAGCCCAGCTCTCCCCACGGTGTGCCCAGGTGCCAGAAGACAGGCTGGCCAGTCTCCTCTCAGGCCTCCTGCATGCCTTCTGCTTTCTGGTGTCCCTGCAGACAATGTCAAGGCTTACTTCAAGCGGGGTAAGGCCCATGCTGCTGTGTGGAATGCCCAGGAGGCCCAGGCTGACTTTGCCAAGGTGTTGGAGCTAGACCCTGCCCTGGCACCTGTGGTAAGCAGAGAGCTGCGGGCCCTGGAGACACGAATCCGGCAGAAGGATGAGGAGGACAAAGCCCGCTTCCGGGGCATCTTTTCCCACTGACAGGGCCCCAGTTCTGCCCTGCCCTGCCATGCCACACCCTGCCCTGCCAAGCCCACTGCTACCACCACCTGTCAATCCCCCACTGCCACCTTGTGCTTCTGTGTATATAAAGGCCTTATTTATCTCTCTGGCTTTGCAGAGCTACTCCATCCTGAAGGCTAGTCATCATTGGCTAGGTGCTTGGTAGACAGTGGGAGGGAAGAGATCAGGTTCCTACCTCGTCCCCTACTGGTTTGTGCTAAAATCTCTGGGAATTTCTTTCTGGCCAATACTAGCCTTGGGAGCCTCTAGTATTTTGTTTTTGGTTTTTTGAGACAGGGTTTCTCTGTGTAGCTCCAGCTGTCCTGGAACTCACTCTGTAGACCAGGCTGGCCTCGAACTTGGAAATCTGCCTGCCTCTGCCTCCAAAGTGCTGGGATTCCTGCTGGCGAGCCTCTAGTATTAAGCGGTAGAGAAAGCTCAGGCCACACTGGCTGCTCTATCAGCCTCAGGGCCCACAGTCCCTGGCTTTCGGTTTGGAGACAGAAGTTTCCTTAGGGGCAGAAGTGAGGAGAGCTGCAGAGTAAGACACCACGTGACTCTCATAAAAAAATGCAAACACTGTCTGAGGTTGGGGGCAGGAGAAGGACTAGGCAAACTATCTAGGAAATGCCCTAGGGAAGTGCAGCCAGGGCCCTTGGGGAAAGTGAAAGTGAAGGGGCTCTGGCCTGGCCCTACCCTGTGACCCTGAGCAGGTCCTGGCCCTTTTCAGCACCTCAGTGTTCCAGACGGGAGGGCCTTGGTAGAGTGCAGTTGTTTATTTTTATAGATTCACACACTGGAAAAGCTGCTGGGCCCTAGCCCACTCTCTCCTTCCTCCCCTGGGGGCTAGGGCCCCCAACCTCCACAGAGGGAAGAAATACTGAGGACTCGTCACACAGGGCGTGGGGCCAGGACGGGCGCCAAAGGTCAAGGCCCCAGCCTCCCAGTCACTGAGGCCCCTTGAGTATCAATAAATAACCCAGGTCCAGCCGCGGTTTGCTCACTCTTCACTGTCCAGCTTGAGGCTGATGCTTCGAGTCTTGCCCCTGGCCAGGGTGGTGGGAGGTGTTCCTGGACCCTCACGGTCCACCTGGCTGGGGCCTCTGGACCGAAGCAGCTGGCTCTGCTTACGGAGGAAGTCCACAGGGGCAGCCACAGAGTAGCTGCTTTTGGCCAGAGCAGCTCTTGGAGGTCCTGAAGGGGCATGGGAGTGGGAGCCTGCCTCCAGCTGGCCCAAGTGGGCCACATAACCATCTGACAGGAACTGTGGGTAGAAGGAGGCAGGGATGAGGGGATTACCAGCCTCCCCTGAGGCTCCTGCACAGAGTAGATAGAGCAAGTGATACTGGCAAGTGGCAGCCTGGCTCAGCCTGATCAGGAAGCCTTCTCCCACTACGTAGTATCCCGACTGTGAGCCAGGCACCTTGGCTCTACTCCCAGTTTGCCTCTCTCTAGACCTGACTCATCCTCAGGCTGGCATCTTGGGGAAATAACAGCATTTAGCATTTAGCAAGCTGAGGCCTAGCCCTGAGCCTTTGACCTACAGTGAATGATCAGACCTTTGTTATAAGCTAATGAGTACAGATAGTGCTAGCATCATTCACTACCACAGAACAAGCTCAGAAAGGTCAAAGCACCTGCCCAAGGCCATGGAAGATGATCTGTATCTGAGACTCTGAACAGTCACCACCTCTGTGGTCACTTCTAGTCTGTACACAGCAAGTATAGCCTATTGCCCCTGTCCCAGGAGGGATAAGTGGTTCCTGGGGCCACAGTTGCCTTACTTACATCTGCCCTCTCCTGCAGGACTCAATGCGTTGGGTGATCCTTAGCCTTGGCCCTGAAATTCTGTCCCCAGCCTTCCCTTGGGTCTTACCTGACACTGTGTCTGCAGTTTACGCACAGCACGGCCAACAATGTAGGTCTGGCTTGGAGAGAGTCCCAGTGCTGCATACACTGCAACATCTTTTGGTGACCCATATCCAGCCACGATGTTCAGTTCTACCTGTGTTGAAAAGCCGGTCAGCAGCCCTGTGGGTGGAGCCATAGGGCATGCATGCATCCCCCAATTGCTGTTTCAGGGACGCTGCTATGTGTGAAGAGATGGGGGCGAGGTCCTAGTCACCATAGCTCAATCTCCCCTGTTGGCCCTCAGGAGGGCGGGACCACAGAGGCCTCTTTAAGTCCAAGATGGTGGGAGTGGGAACTGTCAGGTGGAATGGGGTGAAGGCAGGCTGGGACCATTCTCAGCCACAGTACCTCTTGCACCAGGCTCTGCAGAAACATAGCTTTCTGCCGCAGTGGGTCATGGGTGAGGCCATCACAGAAGGAGACAACACCATGGGGGAAGTTGTGTTGCGACAGCCAGGCCACTACACGGTGCTTTTGCATGTCAGGCCGGCCAGTTACGTACACAATCAAGTAGCCTGAGTCCTGCCAGTGCCTGTGAGATGGAGGCTTGTCAGCTCCAGTCCAGAGTGATGACCAGTCATTGTGGCCGGTGAGGCTGAGGCTCCTACCTGACTACATCCACTGCGCCAGCCCGCACCTTGGGGTCGCTGCCCATTATAGAGACACTGGCAGTGAAAGAGCCATCAATGCTGAAGACCACAGCTTCTGTGCCTCGGGACACCACAGTCAGACAGCACTCGGCATAGGTATGGTCTCCCCTATGGCCCATGGGAGCATGGCATGAGTGGATAGGTGAGGCTGGCAGTGCCCAGCCCCACAGGAGCCCAAATACCTGCTGCTTACCTGACCACCATGCGCACAGGGTAGACACCAATGCCCAGTGCACGTTCTGAGGGCACTGGGAAGGTGAGACGGCCTGAGCTGTTGGTGACCTCTGTGCCAAAGTGGATCCACTTGCCTGACAGTGGCTGAGTCATGACATAGATATCCACCTGGAAGGGGTGGGAAGGGCTATGGGGACCATGCCTATGCACCATTTGACAGACAGCTGAGAGCAGAGGCAGGGAGGAATTTCAAGTTGTGTTCTACAGATCGACAGCTGTTAGGGTGGGGGAGGAAACACCAGGAGCATGGGCATCTGGTCCTGACCTTCTCTCCAGTGAGTGTGACCACATCCAATGGTCCATACATAAAGCGGCCATTCAGCACTTGGGGACGGCCCTCACATACCACGGTGTCACTTGCCCGATGATTGGAAGTGACATTCTGGTGGGAAAGAGAGGGTGAGCTGGGACTGGAAAGGATGCATATGAAGGGAGAAAGAGTTGGTGTAGGGTTGGATTCAGGACCACTCTGAGGGTGGAACACGAAGGAGGTAGGGCTGCCATGGGAGACCACGGAGGCTGAGCATGTGAACATCTGTGGACCCACATGAAGTATGTAGCCAGGATGCTTTCTGGGAGGATGTCAGGTGACAGTGAGTGAGAATCCAGACTGACTAACAACCAGGGCTCATGAGAAGTGGGGAGAGGAACCTCAAGTTTCCAGGGGAAGAACCAAGGCAAGGCAGATATGAGGCAGGACCCTGAGGATGCTAGGGACATGCTCAAGCTGGCTCCTGGCAGCCAGACACTTACCCGGATCTTGACCTGCGTGCGTTTGCGCTGCCACTTCTCCCTGGGGAAGGCAGGGCTGTAGATGGATGGCTCCTCACACTCTGTCAACTGTGGCCGCTCCTTCTCAATGACCTGCTCAGGACACCAGGCAGGAAACAATAGCCCTCTTCCTTAGTCCTGGGCTTCCCAGTTTCCGGCCCACATCCCTGGCTTCACTCACCTGGCGCAGAATGAAGGCCACCACATCTGCTGACTCCCAGTAGCTGGCGTGGAAGAGGTGGGGCAGCGTGACCGTGGGGAAGGCGGTGAGAGCCTCCGGGCAGTACAGTGAATAGTCGATCCGCTTGTTTCCCCACCAGCGTTCCAGGACTACACAGCCATGGTGGGCAGTGAGTCAGGGTGGCCTGCTGCCCACTGCCCATCTACCTGGTCTAAGGGGGTTCTTCCCTCCCTCCTTTCCATCTACCAAGACAATGTGTGTACTTTAGGAAGTGATATTTTTCCAGGCAGGCTGATAGTGCAGGCCAGTGCTGGCTAACTTACTCTTAACCACCTCGCTGGTAGTACTGGGGGCTGCTGGCTGGGCTGCTGGCTCATTGCCTAATTCATTGCCCTTCCAGAAGGCACCACTGGCCGAGGTGGGCGTAGAGGGCACCATCATCTCCAGTTCTTCCAGGAAGAGGCTCGAATGGGCCTGCAAAGTGTCAGCTGAGAGAAGAGGACCAACTTAAGAACTAGACTGCCCCCATGTCTCTTCTTCTTGAGGTCCCAGCATAACTCAGCTCCTGGGCCTCTACTATCTGCCCTTTTAGCCTCTCTAGTTGGCTGAAGCTGAAGATTTTCAGAGGAGAGACAGTGTTGTCTCTGGTTGTATGCAGTAATCAATAACATTTCTACCAGAATGTCTGCTACCCCCAAACAAACATATACATATTCCCGTCTAGTTCATGCAACCAAATGCACAAGGAGGCATCTTACACATGTGCACACTGACATGCCAATGCTCCTCTAGATAAGTCACTGGTTCCTTACTTGATACACGTCAAAAGGTCCTAGGGACCCTGACTGCCTATGGGAAAAGGGGAGTGATCCTTGTACCTAGGAGGGGTGACATGAGAGGTTATCTATGATGTGGGGCTTACTTCCCGTCTTTTACTGTCTCCTTCCCTCCCCTTAATTTTGGCTGGGGCAGTGGGGTTGTACCCAGAAGCAGGGATGAGCCATCTCCTAGGGGAAACTTCTGGTAACGAGGTACAGCCAGTGGAGCGATGGCCTGGAATTTGGGGGCCAGCAGAGGTTCCAGGCGGGAGGCACAGGGGTCAGCGGCATGGAAGAGATTGTAGATCTGCTCGCAGGCTGGACGCATCTGAGCCACTGTGTACACATCAGACAGAGAACGGGAAAGTTTTTTTGTTTGTTTGTAGACAAGGTCTCTCTATATAGTCCTGGCTGTCCTAGAACTCAGTATATAGACCAGACTGGCTTTGAACTCAGAGATAAGCCTGCCTCTGCCTTCCAAGTGTTGAGATTAAAGGTGTGTGCCATTATTCTGGGATGAGGGAAGAGTGTGGTTAAGCCAAGCATTGCAGCGGTCTCCTGGCCAAGCAGCAGTGGAAGCCCTCACCAGCTGCTGTGTTACGGGATGGAGCACTTCCTGCATTGTAGGCCCTTTCTTTAAAAAAAAAAAAAAAGTTTTAAATTTCCTTTTATTTATTTATTTTTTATGTGTATGAGTGTTGCCTGCATGTATGTGTGTGTACCATGTATTTGCCCGATGCCCATGAAGGTCATAAAGGGGTGTCAGATGCTCTGCAACTGACTTACAGATGGTTGTGAACTGCCGTGTGGGTGCTGGGAATTGAACTCAGGTCCTCTGCAAGAACAAGTGCTTTTAACTACTGAACCAATTTCCAGCCTTGGGAGCCCCTTCTTAAATAGAATACTTTTCTCCCCAAGAAGTTCCTCCTGATCCACTTTGGAACCTAGCCTTGGCAGATCCTTTCTGGGCCTTCCATTTCCTGCTCTCTGACCAGGCCATTACTTCCCAGTGAGGAAGAACAGTAAGAATCCCCCTGTCGCCGGGCGGTGGTGGCGCACGCCTTTAATCCCAGCACTCGGGAGGCAGAGGCAGGCGGATTTCTGAGTTCGAGGCCAGCCTGGTCTACAGAGTGAGTTCCAGGACAGCCCGGGCTATACAGAGAAACCCTGTCTCGAAAAAAAACCAAAAAAAAAAAAAAAAAAAAAAAGAATCCCCCTGTCTCGGGTGAGCCAGCAAGGCTAGCAGAGACGGAGAGGGAACAAACAGAAGCAGATGAGGTGCACCCCTTTTACCCAAGGGCTCACCCTCCAAGGCGGGCATCACGGTTTTGCGTAGAGCCAGCACCAGGCCCAATGGGGAGCCAAAGAGGAAGAAGCCTGAGACCTTGAAGTCCAGGCGAGCAGCGTTAGTGGGGCCATCAGGAG